AATTGAGCCAACAATGTCGGCTGCCACGGTCGTCCAGGGACCTTGGATTACTCGCCCACCCGCGGCAAGACGTTTTCAATCTCACAGCGTTGACAAATGTCGCAGTGGCGGACAAAGACTACCACGTCTCTAAACATATTCGGCCAGTAATACGCCTCATAGAGACGATGGTCTTATCTACCCCCAAGTGGCCCCAGCGGGCCAATTATTCGTAATGGATTGCACTATTCGCTCTGCGATGGTTTTATCACCTCATTCTCTAACATATCTTGGACCTCCTTCCACATAATCTCTCGGATCGCCGGAGTTGTCTGGTACGGGCGCTGCCGTATTGGAGGATGGCCGTTCACATCGATACGATTGGATGTGAGGGTTGTCGCCCTCAGTTTGCCTTCACCCTTGAGGAGGACCCGTGAGAAGTTCCCGAAGTCGTTGCTCCTGGGGTTTCTCGACGGAGCGTAAGCCGCAGCACATTGTAAGTTGCGGAACTTGATGGAGAGGAGTAAAGCGAAATCGCCGCGCGGGCTCCTCTCGGTAAAACCAGGTCTGATCGACAAAGTCAATAACGATCTTCGCGGACACAAGGAAATCCATCCCGAGGATGAAATCCTCGGATAACGTTGGCATAACATACGCGACTAGAGGCATATGTTGCCCCCCAAGCTCGGTGATACATGCGACGGTGTGTTTCTCGAGCTCGACTTACCCGCTTGCCGTCACGACTCTTTTCTCGGGGACTTCTAACAGCAGAATTTTTACCCTCTCGAAGAGAAGGTTGCCAGCCATACCCGCGAAAGACTTAGTTGCGCCGGAATCTACGAGAGCTCTCACTCTTAACCCGTCGATAACGATATCCACGTGGACTGTTCGTGGAGAAGGTTCGGAAGCCGCGTGTAATATGACCTCATTTGGAGGCATGGGTTCCGGCGACAAGAGAACTTGCGGATCGGAACAAACACGGGAGATTTCCAACGACCCCGCGGGGGATCGTGGAGGAGGAACATCCTCACCCTGAGGGGTTGACACCCCTCGGGAAACCGGCTGTGAGTCGTGCCGAAGCGGAGGTACGACAGGGACCGAGTCAGGGCGAGGAGGGGTCCTCGGCCGACCGGAAGGAAAGATAGTATTCCGAGATTGTCCTTCTCGTGACCGAGGGCGGGAAGGATTTGCCGCCTGCCAAGCTTGTGGTCGGGCTGGATTGTCGATGGTGATTCGAGGGGGCCGAGGTGGCGGTCCTCGGACGGCGCACGTTGGGGCACGAAAGTAATACATTAGAAAAGATTCTAATGTATTATTAGTCTTTCAACCCTACACTTTATATAAAACCATATTATTTATAACCCTCAACAGCCATTTAAAATACACTGATTTCCATCTAATTAGTCATAATTCACACGAGGAAAAATGTTCGGCTCACAAACAGTTACGTGCGTGTACGAAGATCAGTCGCCATTTCGGGCGTCCGTTGATTGCTGGTTAGCAAGCATGCTCGCAGCGCTCTCTCGTTTGACATAGTGCAACTCTACAGGGTGTCCCAGAAGTACGTGCTAATCCTTTACCAGCATGCACAGGGGGTGATTCTGAACCGAAAAGTCCTTTTCCACTTTTGGATCAGAAGCACCCCACCCCACGGAGATATTGGGGTAAATAGGAGAGCCAATGACGGTGCGGCGTTAAGCGGCAGTACATCGGTGTGGCTCCGCACACATAGCACGCTGCCTGGAAGGGGCGTCGCTCATGCATATATCGGAGCCACACAAACGTACCTCCGTTTAACGCTGCAGCGTCATTGGCTCGCATATTTACCGCAATATCTCCGGGGGGGGGGGGGGGGGTGCTTCTGATCCAAAAGTGGAAAAGGACTTTTCGGGTCAGAATCACCCCCTTTACATGCTGGTAAAGGATTAGCATGTACTTCTGGGACACCCTGTATACTGGCGACATAATATGAATAAATATATAAATACCAGTATAAAATAAATAATACTCAATGGATTATCGTAATAAAAAATATGAAATTTCAATTGGATCGTTTTTAAAAATTTATTTGTGTTATATTCTGCAGTAATGACTTTAACAAGCGAAATTTCCTCACTGAAAATTTCCTCTATATCGGCTGTTCCTGTCAAACCACTTTGACATTAACACCTTGACAATGTTGAAAAATAAATGCATTGTCTCTTGATGAACTTTTCGAACTGGATCAAAATCAGGTATTTCTAGAAGAATTGACATATGATTTTTCAAATGATGTTGTTCATCAGCTTTGGCGATGAAAGTATTGAGACAAAATCCTTTTTTTACTTGACCTGTAATAATTTAAATAGAGCAATTGGCAAAGATTTCACCCGACGTGGCTTGGGTCAGGATCTGTCGGGGCTCAAAGCAATTTAATTATTAAAAAAAAGTTAGGTGCCAGTCAATCTTATCAAGATTGACAACTTGTTAAATGACAATAATTTGAAATTACAATATGAGGTTTCGTTATTGGGGTGGACCCGACGTTGAAGACCCTGTAGAAAGCCAAAGAGAGAGTAAGACAAGGACGGAAGGCTACTTACAATGTTTCCGTAGAATAGTCTCTCCTGGCGTGATGTGAGGCGATAGACAATTAAACACACCGTAATTTGTCAACACTTGTATTTTAATGATAATATGGCACAGGCCTATACAAAATATTCAGAATATAATGACTGATAAAAGGGGTTAGTTAACCTGGAACTCGGTACAATTATTCGTATACGCGAAATTTAATAGACGTAACGAAAGTTTGGCGGCCGGAACGAGAGTAACGAGTCTCGACACGCTGGACACTTGTTGAACGTAGTCCCATCGGAAAATCGATATTCCGACGCAAATCCGTCGACGAAATAAGGGCTGAGCCTCCTGATTGGCCACCGATGACACGACATTAGTTTAGTCACGCTGGCTTGGGTTGTCAATAATTTCCCATTTGTGAGTTTGAGACTGACGTTGGGGGAATTTCTATTGACGTGTTACAGTATTTCTGGTACGTTTTCGGTAAGTGTTCTCTAGAAATACTCTGCGTCTTTCCTCAGTAATGCGTGGGATACATCGTTCACAAGATGAAAATCCTGTTTGGTCTTTGATACATTTTAATCTAGCTCTGGCTGGACTATCTGCCACGATGCCTGCAATTTCAAAGCGATAATTAACCTGACCTACTGTAATCCCATGATGAATCAGCTCGATGGATTCTTTGACAAAATCTCGCAGGAAATCGTTAACATCTCTTGGCTTCGAGTCTCCATAGTAGAGGGCAAGTACAGAAGGATAACCTTCATAATCAGGATGAGAAATTTCCATCAGGATTGGCCACAGTTGCCCTCTTATGACATTGTAGACACTCGTTCCATTTATGTATACTAAGACGCGCACAATAAGATTTTTGTACACTTCAGGAGGTAGACGTCGATCCAAATCGTTCCTAATTCCCAGATATACATATTGGTCGAGAGTATTTGCGTGGAGATACTTGATTCGCTTTTTATCGAATGTTTGTATCCTAGCAGGGTGATATCAGATGATTGCAAGTCATGATAACCCTCCTCTTTTAAAACTTTGAGAAGTCCAGTGACTGCTTTCAAATCCATATTTCCAATATTTTCTACAGCTGAGTTCTTGAGCTTGTATTTAAAAGAAAGAACAAGATTATGCTTGCACAGCACTGGCTCTTCATTATTGAATGATTCGTCACAACTTATTGTTATCTCACGTTCTCCACCATCATTCTCACTATCAGCATCACTCATAGAATTATCACTAATGCTCTGTCTTGGGTTATTTTCAACTTCACTTGTACATGAACTGCTGTCACCACTCTGATTATTGATTTCATAAGCTACAAATTGTGGATTCGCCGTATCATGTCGTTCATTAAGCCCTTCATCTTCACATTGTGACTTTTCTTATAACTTGCGAAATTAAAAAAAAAAACTCTGTAAAACGATGATTTTTTCTCCATCTTAGAGTAATGGTACACCATTATTAGGTAAAGCAATCTAGGTTAACTCATCCCGGCTGCGATTTGAGTTCCCACAACTATCCTAGGTGTCTCAAGAGACGTCTATCAGAGTCAATGAGTGATCGAGTCACACGAGCTGAATCCTTACTCAATTTGAGTTTCCAATATGAAAAACTAATGAGAATATTATTTACATGAAATTTCTATCTGATTTGTTGTTCGTAAATATTAGTTTGAAATTGAAAATTGACCCTTGGCAGTTAAAGGCTCTCCGAGGCTAAGCTCAACCTTAGTTCAAGCAGCTTAGTGCGAACCTTGATCTTACGAGGCTAATCTAAGGCTTAGCTAACTCAGTCTGATCATTTCAACCCTCATACGAGTCTAAAATGAGGCTCGCTCTGTTGAACCTGAACCTAATTAGGTTTGTTCGAGTTTTTGCAGAGCTTTAAATCGCCCAACCTCAGGATGCCAAGGCTTATCGAACCTTATGCCCATCGTCCAACCTTAGAATTCCTATCTGGGTGACTGGTACGACATATCCATGTTAAGAGAAAAGGGGGCGAGAAAGATAAAATTTGACATTTTCAGTCATAAATTTATTTTCTTACATTCCGCAAGACCCTTCTGAAAGAGTGTTCTACCCGTGGGTGCTGCTAGAGGGTCGCTAACAATAAATTAAAGGTTTGTCGATTCTCGGTTCTCGCGCGAGATTTTATGGTGGCAGAAAAAGTACTTGACAGGAGAACTCAGGCTTATCGTGTCTTGGAGGCAGGGATTTTTTACTAGATGATCAAATGAAGAACAGCTTTGTACAAATTGCTAGGATGCGATTATGTCGCGAATAACCAGATGTGGTGGCTGCAACAGCCTCGCCATTCCTTTTATTTCTTTTTACTCAGGTTGTGCGTTAAACGTATTCGGGACTTTCTAATCGGAAAAGTTCAAGACTAAAAATGGAGTTTTTTACTCTCTATGTTAGAAATACACTATCATAATATGATGTTTTTTTCTGCAGATAATGTTTGTTTGCGGCCATGGTCTTTTGAACGTGTTCCGAATAAGATGATTAGAGGTCTGGACAATGCCCTCATATATACTTCAACGAAGGAGGCGTGTCTCGCCGCATGTCTCAACGAACATCGATTCACTTGTCGATCGCTTGAATACAATTATGTAACTCTCCAGTGTCATTTGAGTGATTCTGATAGGAGGACTACGGGACAGTTCGTGCAATTTGTTGATGCTCAAGGCGTGGATTATTTCGAAAATTTATGTCTTAAAGGTAAATATTTTAGAAAAAAAAACAAAATAAATAATAATATTCTAGATGTGACCGCCACTAACGGTAGAAGGCGCATGGCTGTAAATCTACATATTTTTGTGTTTCGAACTTTTATTTTTTATCATTTTCATTCATGCTAAACTTTCGAATGGATCCGTAGCTATTCCTGTAGCTATTCACCTCAAAAGTTAGTCTTCCACTTCACATTATTACTTTAATTCTTATTCAAGCTACTGAGTGAATGGAGAACTAAGGGTAAACCAAAAATAACAAACTAGATATTTTTGGAAAAGTGTGAATGAATAATAATGGTGATTTTGTTCAATATAGCTAAAAGCCACTGAATTAGGTGAATTGGACCAACCAGAAAAACCCGTAAAACGAGTAATTATCAAGAACTTTATATGAACTAGGTGCATGTCAAATAAATTTATGTACAGGACGTAGAAACAAATACTTTCAACTAAAAGACTATGAAATGGATTGCATTATTTAAGAAATAATAAATCCAATAGTTTTTCATATTAAGTTGAATATCCCTCGAACAATTGATGCGATTATGCCCGTATTCAATACGAATCGTTATTATCGTGACAGAAAGATTCTGTAAAAGTTTCGAGTTTATATTTAATTTTTTCGAGGGATTGACCACGTCATGGGATTTTCTGGGAAAAAGAATAGGAAAAATCTAATATATCCGGAAAAGTTTGCAGAAACAATTGTATACAGTATACATTGGCCAGGGAATAAATAAATGAATATTCCCGTCCATGGCACGAAAATCAGGAAATTTATTCTCGTCTAATAATTACGGGGGACTTGCTATGATTTACGGGAGGACCTGAAATAATAAGGGGGAGGGGCGTAAACTTTACTCTCTTTAAGTTTCATTCCAACAAAAATCAATACAACAAATAATCAAGGTCTTTTAACGACTAATTAACTCGAGGGTGGGGGGGG